CCCTTGTTCTTCGTTCATGGAGCCGTGGCCAGAGTGATCGCGATACCCTGCAGATGTGAAGGTTTACCCACCTACTGTTGGTAGCTGCCCTGGTCAGTCTCTCGACTTCTGAAGACAGAAATCGCAGGGGGGGTTTCACGATTTGGGTCGCTTCCCCGAGCCCCATCTCAGATCCCTTCCTAGCACATTCGTCCGCTTCCTCATTTCCCGGGACACCACAATGTCCCGGTACCCAGTAGAGATTGATTATGTGTTGCTGTAGAGCTTGTAGGGATCTTCGGCATTCTTTAACGCATACCGAGTTAGTCGTTGCCGACCCTAAGGCTTTGATAGCCGCCTGACTGTCAACAACGAAGGCAAGTTTAGATGGAGCTAAGTCCATCATGCCCACCAACCTTGCCGCCATATGGATTGCATATATCTCAGCCTGAAAAACACTGCAGTGGTCTGGGAGTCTATACGACTCCCTTAGAGATAACTCCTGAGAGAAGACCCCAGATCCTGTTCCGATATCCATTTTGGAGCCGTCCGTGAAGATGGGTATTTCGTCATCGCTGAGAGCAAGTCACTTCTGTCAGGAAAATGGATATCGAAGTTTCGATTGAAGTCAATTTCCGTGACCTGATGGTCACAGTGGCTGTATTCCACCCCCACTCTCCCGAGGATTGTGGCGTGACCTTTGCAAGTTGTTCGCAGCCTGTTAGACGCTCTGAGTCGTAGAGCGCTTTTAGCTGCGATACTTTTAACATATAGGTCTATGGTGGAATATCCAGCAGGGTCTCTAAAGATGCCTGGGGCGTTGAATAAATCGCCCCCGTTGTGTATAAGCATACTTGTCGTTGCACCTTTTGCAAGTTGAGTAGATGGGATTTGGTGTCAACCGCCTGCCACCATACCAACGCGCCATAGGTGAGGATAGGTCTGACTACCGCCGTATAAATCCAATGTATTATCTGCGGTCGCAGACCCCAGTCTTTTCCAATAGTAGCTTTGCAGGAGTAGAGCGCAATGAGCGCCTTCTTTCTCCGCTCTTCGGTGTTCCTTTTCCAGGAAAGCTTAGAGTCGAGAATAACCCCCAAAAACTTTGCTTCTTTTGACAATTCGAGATTTGCTCCATTGAGGGACGGAAGTCGGAAATTGTCTATTTTATATCGCTTGGTGAAGAGAACAAGTTCGGTTTTAGTGGGATTGACGCCTAGGCCGTTTCGTTCTGCCCACCCTGACAGATCGCTAATTGCAGATTGTAGAATCTCGCTGACCGTGGAGAGGAATTTTCCCACGACCAGAATGACTAAGTCATCCGCATAAGCAACGACCTTGGCGGCTTTTGATGTGCGAAGCAGGAATTCGTTTAGCACGAGGTTCCACAGTAGGGGGGATAGCACCCCCCCTTGAGGTGTGCCCCGTGTGGCTGTTTTCCTTACTTCTGATGTTCCCAAGGAGCCATTGATATTTCTGGTGCTCAACATATTGTCGATCCAGAGAGTGATCAATGGGTCCAGTCCTACAGCCACCATGGAGCAGTGTATGGATGCCAAATTAACATTGTTAAAGGCGCCCTCCACGTCCAGAAAGGCTGCCAGCGCATATTCCTTGTGATTCAGTGCTTGCTCTATACTCCCAACAACCTCGTGCGGGGCTGTTTCAACCGACCTACCTTTACGGTAGGCATGCTGAGCCTCGCTGAAGTTCCCAGGAGTAATGCGTTGCGTGATCTGCAGACTCAGAAGCCTCTCCATTATTTTGAGAAGAAATGATGAGAGGCTGATGGGCCTAAAATCTTTTGCAGTGCTGTGGCCCGCTTTTCCTGCTTTGGGAATGAAGACCACTCTTACCTCCCTCCATGGCTTTGGGATATAGCCTAGGAGGAGACTCGCCCTATAGACTGTCGTTAACCAGGGGGTTACCGTGGCGCTTGTTCGTTGTAGCATGGCTGGAAAGATCCCATCCGGTCCCGAGAATTGTAGGGTTGGAAGGATCTGATAGCCCAAGCTAATTTGTCTGCAGTGATGATTTCGTCCACTGGACTGCCTTGCCTGTGGGTACTAGGGTGTTCTGTCACAGGAGTTCCTGTGTCCCCCGCGTCACCGCAACCAGGGAAGTGGACGTCCATAAGGTGTTCCAGTGTTTCAAGGCTGCTTTCGGTGTGCCCTCCTCCTGGCTTTTCCAGAAAACCAGGAGGAGCCGGGTTTTTCGAGAGGCACCTTCTTAGTCGCACGGCATCAGTAGTCGTTTCGAGGTCCTCGCAAACTGGCTGAATTTGTTCCAGTTTGTCCTACGAGGATTTCGATAAGGTTTTAGTGTCGGTCTGTTCAGGTTAATGGAGAATACGATGCGACAATGATCAGAAAAAGAGCATTTTGTCGAGACGTGCCAGCCGTCGACCCTAACATTGTTCGAGTTAGTTACAAGAGTTATATCTATAACCTCCTCCCTTATTCTATTGTAGAAAGTGGGGTGATTACCCTTATTACAGATAGTAAGTTTTGTGGATAATAAGTAACTAAAGAGTGACTCACCTCTATCGTTGGTGTTCGAGCTGCTCCACGCCGTGTGGTGAGCGTTGGCGTCACAGCCAGCCACCATATTTATCCCTCGTTGCTCCGCCCAGGCGGTTAGTTTCCTGAAGGATATTGACGGGGGATCGGGTACATCGTATGGCATGTATAAAGATGCGAGGATGAGGTCGGGTGCTCCCCGCTGCTCCAACATTGCCACTGTCATGTCCGAATCGCTAAATTGGGGAAGAAAGAGAGTATTAGTGCTTTTCTTAATCAGAATACAGGTTCTAATTTTACCTTCGGTCTGTGGGGTGAGAAGTAGAAAGTCGCTAGTGTGACCCTCCCCGCCACTAGCCAGGGTTCTTGTATTAGGGCCACGTCCACATCTTCCTCACCCATGAAGAGCAGCAGATCCTCCGATGCTGCCCTGCAGTGATGCAGATTAATCTGCACCACCTTTAGGCTTTTCGGATTCTCTTTCAGCATCGGGGATGATCACCCTGAGGTGACCGATGCCATATCTTATTTGGCCGGCTTTGCGACGAAGGATCTGCAAGGATTGTGGACCGATCTTGATCCAAAGGTCCTTGCCGTTACCCTTGTCGCGAGCGCGGCCTCGGACAATCGTCCAGTCGTCAGGGATGACATCCACGTTCTGACATTTGATTAGGGCTAGTGAGGTCTCGTCCTCCACGAGGGGGGGCGGGATCCACACTCGCACTGTCGTACGGGATGGCACCTCTGAGAGCGGAACAACTTCTAGTCGTGCGTTGGCCCAAAGTTCATCTTGGTTGCGGACGCAGTTTGTTAGGAAGTCTAACGACTCCTTGTTACCGCATCCAACAACTTTGACTCCCTTCTGCCACTTGGCTCCATCAAACATACCAATGTAGTTGTTTTTGGTACGCTGGATTTCGCCAAGTAGTGCCCTCATGATATTTTCCTCCAGGAGCAACCATTTGTCTGTCGGAATCTTTCCTTCCGGGTGATTCCGGTCTATGATTGCTACCTGGAGCTCTGGTGCTGAGCATAAGGTTGATGAAGTTTTCACCCGCTTCTGATTGGCGCTGTAACCGCCTAAGCGATTTTGACCAAGTCCAAAACAGCACGCCAGTCATTTCTCTTCTGTGCTAACTGAAGCCAATTGGAAATGCCAAGTGAAGCCAAGTCCTTCTCCACCTGGTCTTTCCAACGCAGAGGAGGCCTTCCTCTTCCTCTGTTACCAGCATCGCGGCCCGCGTTGAATATTTTCAGAGCAGGAGCGTTTCTGTCCATCCGAACGACATGGCCAAGCCAGCGGAGCCGCTGAATTTTAATTCGCTGCACTATGTCTATATCGTTGTAAAGCTCATACAGCTCATCGTTAAATCGTCTGCGATATTCGCCATCACCAACGCGTAAAGGTCCGTAAATCTTTCGCAGAATCTTTCTCTCGAAAACTCCAAGAGCCGCCTCATCAGATGCTTTCATTGTCCATGCTTCCGCGCCATACACCAGCACAGGCATGATGAGTGACTTATAGAGTGTGATCTTTGTACGACGAGAGAGGACTTTACTTCTCAATTGCCTACTCAGCCCAAAGTAGCACTTGTTGGCAAGAGTGATTCTCCGTTGGATTTCAAGGCTGACATTATTATTGGTGTTAATGCTGGTTCCCAAATAAACGAAGTCGTCTACTTTTTCAAACTTGTAACTGTCAACAGTGACGTGGGTGCCAAGACGCGTATGCTCTGACTGTTTGTGTGCTGACAGGAGATACTTCGTTTTGTCCTCGTTCACCACCAGACCCATTCGCTTTGCTTCTCTATCCAATCCCGAGAAGGCAGAACAGACGTAGCCCTTGTTTTTACCGATAATATCGATGTCGTCGGCATACGCCAGCAATTGTACGCTCTTATAAAGTATTGTGCCTGAGCGGTTCAGTTCTGCGGCTCTTATTATCTTCTCCAACATAAGATTAAAGAAATCACACGAAAGGGAGTCCCCTTGTCTGAAACCTCGTTTGGTATCAAACGGCTCGGAGAGGTCCTTCCCTATTCTGACGGAGCTGGTGGTATTGCTCAACGTCATTTTACACAGCCGTATTAGTTTCGCGGGGATACCAAATTCAGACATCGCGGCATAAAGGCAACTTCTCTTCGTGCTGTCGAAAGCGGCTTTGAAATCGACAAATAGATGGTGTGTGTCGATCCTATTCTCGCGGGTCTTTTCCAAGATTTGGCGTATTGTGAATACCTGATCTATGGTGGATTTTCCAGGCCTAAAGCCACACTGATAAGGTCCAATCAGCTCGTTGACGGTGGGCTTCAGTCTTTCGCACAATACGCTCGATAAGACCTTGTAACCTATGCTTAGAAGGCTAATTCCGCGGTAGTTGGCGCGTATGGCGGGGTCGCCTTTCTTGTGGATTGGGCAGAGCACACTTAAATTCCAGTCGTCGGGCATGCGTTCATCTGACCATATTCTGCATACGAGCTGATGCATGCACCTCATCAGCTCCTCGCCGCCGTACTTGAATAGCTCGGCTGGCAGGCCGTCAGCTCCAGCAGCTTTGTTGTTTTTCAGCCGCGTAATCGCTATTCGTACCTCGTCATAGTCAGGCGGTGGGACAGCTACTCCATCATCATCGACTGGGGACTCGGGTTCGTCTTCCTCACTACTTTCAGCGCTGCTACCATTCAGTAGGTTATAAAAGTGTTCCCTCCACAATTTAAGTATATTCTGGACATCGGTCACTAGGTCGCCATTGTTGTTCTTACAGGAGTTCGCCCCGGTCTTGAAACCTTCCGTAAGTCGCCTAACCCTCTGGTAGAATTTTCGGGCGTTCTTCCTGTCGGCCAGCATCTCAAGCTCTTCGCACTCACGTATTTCGGCCTCTCTCTTCTTATTGCGGCAAATACGTCTCGCTTCCTTCTTCAGTTCCCTATAACGGTCCCACATGGCTCGCGTTGCGCCCGATCGCAGCGTGGCCCTGTAGGCGGCATCTTTTTTCTCTGCGGCTTCTTGACATTCCTCATCGTACCAGTTGTTCTTTCGGGCTCGCTGAAATCCAACTACTTCTTCGGCGGCGGTACTTAATGATCGGGAAATGTGGTTCCACTGCTCGCGTACGTCGGATTGTTGAAGAGTGCTCTCAGAGAGCAGGTGTGTGAGTCGAGTGGCGAATAAATTGGCCGTCTGTTGTGATTGCAGCTTTTCGACGTTAAGCTTTCCTTGCATTGTTGGGCGCACATTTTTTGCTGCACAGAGGCGGGTGCGTATCTTGGCTACAACAAGATAGTGGTCCGAGTCGATGTTTGGCCCTCGGAGTGTACGTACGTCCAAAACGCTTGAAGCATGCCTTCCGTCTATCACAACATGATCGATTTGGTTTCTCGTTTTTCGATCTGGAGACAGCCATGTAGCTTGGTGGATGTTCTTATGCTGGAACCTAGTACTACATATTACCATATTTCGGGCCCCGGCGAAGTCGATCAGCCTCAGTCCGTTATCGGACGTTTCGTCGTGGAGGCTGAATTTTCCGACAGTGGCGCCAAAGATCCCTTCCTTGCCCACCTTGGCATTAAAATCGCCAAGCACGATTTTGACATCGTGTCGGGGGCAGCGCTCATATGTACGTTCCAAGCGCTCATAGAAGAGATGCTTGGACGCCTCATCCTTCTCTTCCATCGGGGCATGGGTGCAGATTAGCGAGATGTTGAAGAATCTAACTTTGATGCGGATTGTGGCTAGACGTTCGTCCACCGGGGTGAACGCCATTACTCGGCGACGGAGTCTCTCTCCTACCACGAATCCAACACCGAATTTGCGCTCCTTTACGTGGAAACTGTAGTAGACGTCTCAAGGCTTCACGCTTATTTTCCCTTGCCCCGTCCATCGCATTTCTTGGATGGCGGTGATGTCAGCCTTTGTCGTCCCGAGGACATCAACCACATATGGGTCCGGATATTCCAGGTGCATTCCCTTAAATCATAGTCCTTTATACGTTTGTCGTGGTCGTCATCAGAAAAAGGGAGTGGTTGGTTGGTTGGTTTAAGTGGATTGTCACTCAGGTGACAAGCAATTAGCAAGTTTTCCATTTTGATTCCACAACTCGCGCAACCTACAGCCATTTGGCGGCTTTAATAAATTTCAGTACGTCATACAGAGAGAGGCAGCTGCACTCTGAAATATTCTGCGGGAATGGTTTGCCGAGTGCGTTTAGCCTCATCCTTGCGAGGGNAATGGTTTGCCGAGTGTGTTTAGCCTCATCCTTGCGAGGGCACAGCAAGTGTTCGACTGTCTCTTTTGAGCCCGGGTCATCGCAGCTGCGACAGAACCTATTGAAGGGCAGTCCTATCCTTTCGGCATGTACCCCAACGGGCCAGTGCCCTGTGCACTCTGCAGTAAGTTTGTAGGCATTTGTTTTGCTCATTCCTAAGAGAGCTTTGGTTTTGAGTGGGTCGTAGGACACCCAGAACTGCCGGGAAATTCTGTAGGATCCTGTGCAGTTCCACCTCTGCCTGGCCTTCGAATGATAAAATTCGGTAGTTTTTGTCTTAATCTCCCTGAGCGAGGTGCCCATGTCCACAAGAATCGTTTCTGGCCACTCCCAGGTGAATGGCAGTCAGAAATTTTCCACTTCTGCGGACTAAAATTAGAAAATAATGTTTCTCTGTCCCATAGAACTTGTTTTGATAACTTTTGATTTTGAAATTTTAGCAAGTCATTATAAACAATTTATGAGATCGAAAATGAAAAGCGTGGGGCGCATGTAATAGGCCTGATTTAAAATTGAAGAGTAATATATGTATGTATGTGGGTATATTAATAACGACCGTTTAAAATCGATCTCATATTTGTACTTTCGCTGTAGAAATTTTAGGTCTATGTTATGTATGTAGTTTGAATATTGTCAATTAAATCTAATGCTTTGTATTGCATGCGCTCCACGTTTTTCGTTTTCAATCTCATAAATTGTTTATAATGACTTTTGCTAAAGTTTCAAAATCAAAAGTTATCAAAACAAATTCTATGGGACTGAGATATATTATTTTACAACGCTTTTGTCAACTTGCAATGTTGTGTGTCCAGACCGCTTTGAATGTTGTATGTCCAGACCAGTGATGAAATTGATGGTACAATTGTACTTTTTTGGTACATTTTGGAAGCCAAAAGTACATTGGTACTTTATTGACATTTTTGATACATTTTTGTCAAGATACGGTACTGCACTACAATTACATATGTCGAAATACCACACTCTATTTACTTGGAGTTTTGAATTTTTGTGCANTTATTGACATTTTTGATACATTTTTGTCAAGATACGGTACTGCACTACAATTA